AGGAACATCCACTGCCATGGAATATTGACAGGAACATCCACTGCCATGGAATGTTGTCAGGATCATCCAGTGCCATGGAATATCGACACACAGAGAGCACAGGAATATCCACTGACTTGGAATATCAACACACAGATCACAGGAACATCCATTGACATGGAATATCAGCACTCAGGGTCATAAATATCCTGTGCTGGAATTAAGTGGATGAGACTCATACTCCAGGGCCTAAAGGGGCTCCAGGAGAGCTGGAGAGGGACTTGGGACAAGGGATGGAGGAACAGGACACAGGGAATGGCTTCCCACTGCCAGAGGATAGGGAGAGATGGGATATTGGGAAGGAATTCCAGGCTGTGAGGGAGGGGAGGGACTGGGATGGATCTCCCAGAGAGGCTGTGGCTGCCCCTGGATCCCTGGAAGTGTCCAAGGCCAGGTTGGAGCAACCTGGGATAGTGGGAGGTGTCCCTGCCCATGGCAGGGGGTGGCACTGGATGGGCTTTAAAGTCCCTTCCAACCCAAACCATTCCTTGATTCTGTGCTATCCCAATGGTCTCTCCATTCCAAGTCTCCACCCTTCCAGGGAAAGGACGGTCCCAAAAGGGTCACGGGCAAAGAGGATGGAAAAGAAGCATCATGTGCAGACACAAAGCACTTGCAGCACCTCATCCACAGCTCCAGCTCAGCAGCATTTACAGCTGCTGATATTTGGGAACGTGGAACACACAGCAGGAATCTTTCTGTGTGCTGAAATCTAATTTATCAACAGAAGTTTATTTTCCTGCTCATTTCTGCTTCACATCCAGGAGGAACGTGAGGAGCAGAAAATCCCCATGAGGCTCTTACCCGTCGAGAGAGGAAAAAAAAATTAAAAATAAATCCATCCCTGCAAGTCATCCCCACTGGCAGCTCCGAGGCAGCTTGGAGCCAGTGCCTGGGTGCAAAAGGGGATCTGATTTTTAAATAGCCCCCAAGTCTAACTATAACTGGACTTGACTAACCATTCCCAAAATACGAGAGCAGCTCAGGCCTGAGCGTTCAAGTGCAGTGTGGGGCCTTCCCTGACGTCCCAATGCTCGTTGGGAAGAGGACCCCCCCCCACCCACTCCTGGAATTTTGGGCACCAATTTTGTTCTTGCAGGTGCTCTGTCATGGAATTCTTCAAGGCCAGGAGCAATCTGGGCTAGTGGGAAGTGTCCCTGCTGTGGCACTGGATGGGCTTTAAGGTCCCTTCCAGCCCAATCCATTCTGGATTCACTCTCACTGGCTGGCTCCAGTTTGGCTTTAATTTCCCATCAGCCTGCACTAAATCCCAGCTGCTCTGAAGTGGTTTTACCCCCTGTTTACCTCCCAGAGGAGGTGGTTGGATCAGCAACAGTTTTTGGACAGAGAAAGGGATTTTTTGAACCCCCAAAACCGCACTAAAATAAAACATGGAAGGATTTGTAGGATCTGAAACGTCTTTCCCTGCAAGTCTCTGCATCTCCACGTGCTTGGGGAGCACAGGCTGGAGCTGACAGGCCACCAAGTCCTTGAGAGGATGAGGAGGTCTCTGCTTCTCCCACTTCCAAAGGCCTGGGCTCACCCCAAAACCAACCGGGGTGGAAACACAGAGCAAAGCCACGGGCAAACCATCCCCATCCTGGTTCTGTTTTGCTGAACCCAAATGGTCCCCAAAAAGAAAAAAGCAAACCCATCTGAAAGGAACTTACAGACATGTAGGACCGAGTTCCCACAAAGGAGTTGGCCATGGAGTCAATGAGCTGCCCGCTGACCCCGAAATCACACAGCTTGATCTCCCCTCGGGAATTCACCAGGATGTTGGAAGGCTTCACATCTGGGAACAGATGGTCAGAGAGGGCAGAGTGAAGGGGGTGACACCCCCGGGGTTCCTGCACTGCAGGGCAGCTATTTTTAGGTTCCTCTCCTCTCACCTCTGTGCATGATCTGGTGCTTCTCCCGCAGATACGCCAAGCCTCGTAAAACCTGGGAGGAATCCAGAGGCTGGATGAGATCAGAGCTGGGAAGGGAAGGGCTTTCCCTCCCTCAGGACACGCTGCAGGGTGAGGAAACTGCCCCGTGGTGCACAGAGGTTTCAGGGTTTGCAGTTTATCCCATAGAGCCCATCCCAGAGCTTGGCTGAACCACCCAAAAAAGCTTCTCCCGACCCCTCAACACCACCCAGAGGAACCCAAAGAGCTTGGAGCTGGGAAAAGTGCTTGGGAATATGCTTTGCCCTCCCCTCTGGCACCACACACTGGCCTCTTGCCCCAGGTCAGGATTGGGAAGTGCATGTGGGGAAATGCAACAAGCTTCCCGAGGCAACCCGGCATTCCCAGGAAATCCTCCCTGGAGGCCTGAGGAGCCACCACAACTCACCGCTATACTGACTTTGCCCAAGATTTCCTCGGGAATTCTTTTGGCTTCTTTCAACACTTGATCCAAAGAGCCGCCATCCTAAAATGGGAGAACGTCGGGAATGACCCACAGGCCAATTCCCAGCAGGAAAACAAAGAGCTGTGCAGTGGTGGATAAGCAGCCCAGAGAGCATCCTCAGCACTGAGAGATTTCTGCTGATCTGAGCTCGACTTTATCACTGAAAACCATTTTTAATGCTGCTTTTCTACCAGCTCCGTTTTGTGGAAACGCAAGGATGATGCTGCTGGTGCTGATTTGCAGGAGAAATAACATTATTCGCCACCAGAAACAGCAGAATGTGCTCACTGAGCTTCTCAGCAGGCTCTGGAGGGCGGTGGGTTGGCAACATTTCCGTTTGGCCAACCCCCAAACCTCTGCTTCCTCTTCCCCAAAAGTCGCTCTCTCTCTCTCCCCCTCGATTCGAGGCCCGAGCGGGAGTTTGTGGCTCCCACCAGGAGCAGAGAGGCCTCACTGCAACCAGAGCGAGGAGCCAGCACAGCTGCCAGTGCCCCAAGCTGGCAGGGGAGATGGAATTTGGAAGGACAAAAGAGGAGGGGCTGCTCTCACCATGTGCTCCATGCAGATGGAGATCTCCCCGTCGCTGTAGAAGGCCCCGTAGAACCCCACGATGTAGGGGGAGTTACACTCGTGCAGCACCTGCAGCTCCCTGATGATCTGGTTCCTGATGGCTGGTTTGATTTCCAGGTGAATCAGCTGCCAAGAAAGAAAAAACAGGGCAGGGAGTCAGGGTGGAACACCTGGAAAAGAAAAAGAACAACTCCCGGGAAGCGTGTGAGCAAGTCCTGGGTGCTGGGGAGAAGTAAAATCAAGGGAAGCTCTGCTTTGGAACAGAATTTATCCCACCTGCAGGTTAATATTGAGGATAAAGTGACAGCTGAGAGGGGAATGACTTCAAATGACTTGGCAGAGGGCAGGGTTAGATGGGATATTGGGAAGGAATTCCACCCTGGGAGCGTGGGGAGGGGCTGGGATGGATTTCCCAGAGAAGCTGTGGCTGCCCCATCCCTGGAGGTGTCCAAGGCCAGGTTGGAGCAACCTGGGAGAGTGGAAATGTCCCTGCCCATGGCAGGGGGTTGAATGAAACAATCTTTATGGTTCCCTCCAAGCCAAGGCAGGCTGTGATTCCATGCTGAAGGCAGAGGGAGAGCCCTGTGCTCCCTTGCCAGCGAGGGAAGGCCCCGAGCGCGCCGGGATTGCGCCGGACGCGAGCGGAAAGACGAGTCACAGGTTTGATCTCAGCAGCTCTGACTCAGCACACACAGGACCATTTTCACAAGCTCTTGTAGGTGTTGTAAGAAGGTGCTCTGAGATCAAGGAAACCACAGGAAAAAGAAAAAAAAACAAAAACCCAACGTCGTGAAGGTTCTGAACAAGAACGAGCGGCCGCTTCTGGGGTCAGTTAACGCGGCTGTGGGGAGGGAAACCCCCTGGTCTGGTGGGAGGTGTCCCTGCCCATGGCAGGGGGGTGGAACTGGGTGAGCTTTAAGGTCCCTTCCAACCCAAACCATGCTCTGATTCCATGATCCCAACAGCAGGAGGGAGCAGAGGCTCTGGAGCAGTTGTGCTGCTCCCGCCAAGCCTCTTCCAACAGGCACACGAAGCATCTCCTGATTTTTTACTGCAGCAGGAGATGCTCCCCATAAATCCAAGTCTGAGAGGAATCAGTCACTGCTTGGAATGACTTTTGGGATCTGTTAAGTGGGTGGTGAGGGGTGAGGAACGTGTATTCCAAACCCATCCCTCCCTCTGCCACTTCCAGCCCTCCTCAGCCACAACCCTCAAGGGATCTCCTTCCAACTGCTTCTGGCCAGTTTATCCATCAAAACCAGCTTCACTGGGAAAAAAATAACCTCATGTGTTCACACCAGGGTGTGCAAACCCCAGGGATCTGTCGCAGAGGCCTCTCCCAAAGGAGGACTTGGAGACAGGATCCATGTAAAACCTACCTGGGGGCTGCCAGGACCGTGCTCCTGACCCAGGTGAGGGAGAATCCAACCAAAACAGGGAGAATCCAACCAAAACCAGCCCTCCCAGAGCCAGGGAGAGCCCCAGGCACTGCCCAGCCCCTCGTTACCTTCCGTGCCATGATGAGCCCTGAGGGTTTGTGCTGCACTTTGGTGACCACGCCGCCATTTCCAGCCCCCAGCTCGGAGATCCTCTCGAAGTCATCGTCCTTGAGCTCTCCCACTTTGGCTTTCTGGGTGAGGAAAGCTTCCAGGCGCTTCTTCTGCTGCTCATCCAGCTCCAGCTCCTCCAGCTTCTTCTGCAGGTCCACCAGGTTCGCCCTGAGGAGAGGAGGAGGAGATGGGAGCACGCTCAGCAACGGGGAAAGGTTTCATTTTTTTTAGGGGAATGCCTTAAAACCATCCCCTGACACGTCCTGAGCCCCCCTGGCAGAGCAGCAGGGCTAAAGCAAAGCTCCAGGGAGAGGCAGAGCCCGGCTCCAATCCCTGCCCAACACACACATCTCCTCTGGAGAGGAGCTTTGGAGCAGTCAGCTGTTCTGGGAGAGCCCAAGGAGTAGGGAAAAATCCTTCAATCCTTAAAGAGGCAGCACAGCAACCGCTCCCTGTCCCGGGAAGCCAAGCTTGGGTTTCGCTGAGAAACACGAGAAGGGCTTTCCAAGGGGTCTAGCAGCCCCCCCAGCCCCAAATCCCGAGCACAAAGGGGTGGCTGTGCTCCCCCAGCACCTGCTGAGGGCTCCAGCTGCTCTCTCCCAGTTGCTGCCCACCCCCTTGTCCCCCCCTCACCCACGGGAGGGTCTCACCCCATCCCTCCCACCCACTGCTCTGATATGAAGCTCTGTTGTCCCCTCTACCCATGTCCTGTCTGTTGAGCCCCCATTAATGCCCCAAATCCCCCCCCTCCCAAACCCCAGGACCCCATCCCAGCTCCAACCTGTGTCCTCAGGCCTGCTCCCTGCACACCCCAGGCCCCAGGTACCCCCCAGCCCACCCCCAGCAAGCCCAGGGACCAGCCCAGCCTCCCCCCTGCCCACCCCAGCCCCTGTAGCCCCCAACCCCCCCCTCCAGCTCTGGTTCCCTGATGCTTCACCCAACCCCAGACCCTCCTCGGGCTGGGCTCATCCAGCCCCTCCAGGCCTGTCCCAAATCCCCCAGGCCTTCCTGGTCCCCCCGACCCTGTCCCAGGCCCCCTCAAGCCTGTCCCAGCCCCCC